AGTATTTTTCTGAGCTGGTAGCTATGCAACAAGACTGGGAGTCAGTGGAAGAGGGGGATGGGAAGCTCGGGACAGTTTAGCAAGAGGAAGGAAGGAATGAAGAGAGGAAAAACGGAGGCAAGGAGGGAAGAAGGAGGGAGGAGGTCCTTGAGTGAGAACTAGAAAAGCTGGAGAGTGAGGAGCAGAGGCAACAGGAGAACAGCCCTGAAACAGATGTTCTACCTCGGAGAAGAGCTTTAAGTTGATCACATTTTCTACTTTTTATTGCTGGTGCACATTAAACCTGGAGCATGTTTCTCTCACAAAACACCGTTCAGTTTCCACAACAGATTGAACGATGTCTGCTGATATACAGCAGAATCTCCGGCACTGATTAGAATCCCTTCCTAGAAGAGAGAAATTAAGAAGCCTGAGCTGAGATGGAAGTGATTAGCGCTCGACGTGGGAGCTGTCCGAAGTCTCGGTGCTGAATGACGCCCTACTTTCCCTGACACGTCCATCTCCTCGTCCACAGCTTCTCGCCTCGACTCTGGCCCGCGAAAAACAGGCCACCTGTTGATGCACCGAAGTTTTCTCTAAGACGGTTGTAAAGAAGGGTAAAAAAAAATCAGATACCCTCCAGTGTGTAACGTATATCCACTGTAGTGATCATACAGTCCCGGAATAAAGTAAGATTAGGTGTTTGTTTTTTTCTTCCTCAGACCGTGATATGATAAACATATTCCTGCCACATCCGGCTGAAGGCGGGGGGGATCATTTCATTTAAATTCTTATTTACACCGTGAAAATGTTTAGGTAAAAAAATGTATTGACTATATTTGTGCTATTTTGATCATATTTGATAATAATATTTGACACAAATCCCTCAATAACAAGAGCAGGTCGAAATACACATCCTCATATTTACAAATATTCAGGCTTGCACTTCATATTTACGTCAATCCTAACAGAACCAAATGACTGAATGGTTTGGACTCACCATCGGTCGAGGAGAACAACAGGTGATGCCGACCTCTTCAACCCACTGCTGTTGGCGTCTCTCCTGTTAGAACGCCAGTCTGTGCGCTCTGCCGTCACTGCTCCACGTAACGATTCTCATGATGTTACTGGGTAGGCTGGAGGAAGACGGAACCGTGTGTTTATATACGTCTGCTGCTCCGAGGAGACGACGAGGAGAAGGCGGGTCCATGTGGAGTGACGACGGCCAGAGGAGGCCAATTGACGTCCGTGCCCCCCCCCCCTCCCCTCAGACCTTCTTAAGGGTGCGGCCCAAAGCAGCAGTATAGCATCAGCACCTCAATTATATATACTGTATAAATATACATACATATATGTATGTATGTATATATCTATATATTGAATTAAAGCTGGACAAGTTACATTACATTAGAGAACAAATTCATGTTCAGTGTGAAACAACAGTATTCAGGGTTACACACTACACTACAGCTAATGTACGACAATTTAAGAAGCGCAAGATCTTTCCTCAGATTCTCTGTTCTCTGAAAAACCCTTGAAGGTTTTTTTTAGGTTTAGCCTATGTGTCCTGTGTTTTCTTAGCCCACAGCCTGTTTTGTAAATAGTGAAATAGCAATAGTATACACATCAAATTATTATTATTATTATTTGGACATTTAAAGTTAACTAGGTCATTTTGCAGTGGCAGTTCAGTATTGCTGTCACCAGTCCATGAAGCACATTCTCCAGAATCCTTGGCAGCGTAATGGGGAAGTGCAAGAATTGGACTCTCAGCATAGACGAGGGTCAAAGGTCAGCTTTGAGACTCCTTTCTTAAGAGTTTTTCTATATATATGTATGAAGTTTGGGTACACACACACACACAGAGAATATCTCACATTAACATTAATGAGTTCCCAAACAGAAATGACTCCATTATCAAGATATTCCGCAGAATTAAAAATGTAAACCCTACAGGTAGGATTTAACTCGCTGAGCCAAAGGAGACTGTGTATCAGAAAAGTAAAGAAAATGTCTCATTCATTTTTAGTTTAATTGCGATCATAATATGAGAGGAGATGATAATGAGTACTCTGTCAGTGTCATTCTCTCCCTGCACCTTTGAAACGGTTAGTAATACTGCAGTCTGGTTTTGCCGCTGCTGCTCTGACCTCCATTAATAAGCAGTTAGCATAAAAAACAAAAGACTGTGAATGTCCGAGGGTTGATGGTAAATTGTTTGTTTGTAGTTCTGTGTCAAATCAGTAGCTTAGCGCTGTTCTGTGCGGACGCCTCAGCAGAGCAGCATTGTGAGGTCTAATTCAACATGTGTTCTGTACATAATGTTCTGAGAATTTGACATTTGTAAACGGTCAATGTGGTTCTGTAAAACCAATAATAATAAATCAACATTTTTATGTTATTTGGAACCAGAAAGCGAAATCCGCGGCAGAACCAAACTCAGAACGTTGAACCATCTGCCTCGTCTGGTCAGGGGGGGATGGGTGAGATGGGGGAAAGAACAGGTGGGAGATAAGAGTGGGCCAAGAAGGACAAGGAAATGGAAGGGGGTGAAGACAGATAAGAAGGCAGATGATAGAAGAATTTTAGTGCTGTTGGTGGTCTAACAGTACAATAACTGACAACTTCAGAACTGAGGGAAATATTGACATTGATATGTATAAATATTATTCAATGACACGGGAGGAAATAGAGTGATCATGGGGATTCCCCCAGTAGTCAAGGCCTGTGGAGGGCCAATTAGAACAGAGGTTTATTTGTATCAGCACTAAAATCATTTCAATGAACTA